TATATATATATTTACTAAATGCCCAATACTGAGAGCAGGACAGGACACGGTTATTGTATTATTATTAGCCTCCATGGCTAAAACTCCCATCGGCTGGGTGGAGGGCGCTGGCTGGGTGGAGGGCGGAGGGTGGACTGGCTGGGTGGAGGGCGCTGGCTGGGTGGGTGGGGGCTGGGTGGAAGGCACTGGATGGGGGGAAGGCGCTGGCTGGGTGGAGGGTGGCGGGTGCTGGGTGGGTAGAGGGCGCTGGGTGGGTGGAGGGCGCTGGGTGGAGGGCACTGGCTGGGTGGAGGGCGCTGGCTGGGTGGAGGGCGCTGGGTGGAGGCCGCTGGGTGGAGGCCGCTGGCTGAGGATGTTGTGGGATGGAAAAAACACAAAGCGGTTGTGAAAGTTGCCTGCTTGCCGGGCCTCTGCGGATCCACACTGAAGCCTATCAGCTGGTGTGTTCTGTCATGTATTTAGAAGTCCAGTGCAGGAGTTGCCATGGGAACTAGCATTACCCCTCAGGAGTAGCTCCAGCGAGTGTACAGTTGCTTGTCCGTGAGAAATGCTTCTGCTGGGTTTTTCTAGTCAGGCAGCAGAACAGTGGGATCTGTTGAGCTGAGCTGCGAGGCCGTCCTCCCTCTCCGACACCAACGCTCTCCTATCAGACGGCGGTCATGTTCCATCTCTGCTCCGCGTCCACGCCCTTTATTTCTGGGCTTCTGAATTTCAAAGTTGCCTCTATCGCCTCAGCAACACGGAGGAAGGAAAAAGGAAAGCTGAGAAACTGTACACTCAGTATTTTTCTTCCTTCTCGCCGTCTGTTCCTCGCAGCCCAGCAACAGCCCTCCCCTCTGCTCGGCTCTTTAGTCAATGAGAAAGTGAACTCTCCAGCGCTGTGTCTTGACAATCGCTATTTATGTCCCTCTCTCAAAGACGTACTCTGTCTGTAGGGGAAACTCCGATGTTGCCTGACCTGCTTTCCACAGTGAAAGATCCAGTCTGGTTGGAGGGCACTCCTTCACTGTACACTCCACTGTGCTCCTCAGTCTAGCTCCGATCTCGTCGCCCGCCGAAGACGTCCGGGCGGCTCTGTCTCGGGAACACCAGCTGTTCCGTATTATTTAATCAGCCGCTTTAGTTATGGTTTGAATGTGGCTCTAAACATGATCAGTGTCACACTTGTTGTCTTTTTCTTGCACATTTACTTTTTCCACAAACTTTTTTTCTGCGCTGCCAGTTTGCCGTTAATCTGCCCTGGTGGTCACAGCGGAGGCAGGAGGCTATGAATGGGACTCTGTCATCCCACCATTTTGTTCAGCCACTTTGGCCCAGATTAAAGTATCTGAGCAGCTACTGGATGTGGCGCTCACACAGTCATGCTCCCCAGAAGATGAATCCTGCTGGCTGAGATCATGTTCCTCTGGATTCTTCCTGCAAACATCATGACATTTAGAGACTCCTTAGAATTATCCAGGACTTTGGGTTACACTTATGGATAAAGCAGAAATAAACGTATAATTAAACTCCCGTGAACCCCAGATGTTGATTAGTTTTTTGGCCAAATCAGAGTTAACTCATGTTATTGATTTATTGTTGTCTGATGTGGAGGAATGAAGCATTAAATGAACTACGCAGCACATCAGGTTCAGGTTTATTTAAACACCTGTTGTGTGTGTTTCACTGCAACACAACGGATATTTTACAAACACAAAAGCAGCTAAAGCGACTTCTTCTCTCCTCGTTGTGCAGACGTTTGGTCGTAGCTTCAGGTTTTATGTAAATACGACTGAATTCACCGCACGTTTGTCGTCTTTGTTTTGTTTTCGTGTAAGTTTGTCAGACGAGGCTGCGTTTATCTAGTCGGTATTTTGGTGAGTTGAGCGGAGCAGCAGCTCGGAGGTGACTTCACCGTAACGTGTCGTCCTAATGAGCTTCAGTCGCTGTTGTCTGACAACAGAAACAGAAAAATATGTAAAAGAGAACCGCTTTGTTCAGAATTCAGCGTTAATAAAATGCAGTATGTGTGAGCAGAGAGAGAAACAAACAGATTTAAAGGACCTCCTGTGTGTTTTCTTCAGGTGTTGCTGCATTGCTCTGCTGTCGTAGTTTAAAGTCCCCCTTTTTGTTCTGTTGTTATTTAAAGTACTCCCATACTTTGCAGCCTTAAGTCCTTGGAAACTTTTACATTTAACAGTTGAGCTTGTTACGACTTTAACACTGACTGAGCAGCGACTAACGAGAAAACAACAGACGTTAACATGTTATAACGGAGCAAAGTTAAAAACGGTATTGATGCTGATGCATTTACAACTTTGGCATCGTCCATTACGCCAGCTAATGATGCCAACCCTTATTTGATTAATTGAAAACGTCGTCTGTAGATCGATTTATGCTGGAAACGTCTGTGGGTTGCAGCCCTCGTTGAGATAAGTAGAGCAAAAACCAGTGAAAGGTAGAGAGCAGAGAGAAAACGGTGAAACTGCAGTGACTCAGACCGGAGTGTTGGGAGAAGTGAGATGGAGAGCTGGAGCCGGGCTGTTGAGGAAGAAAATAGGTGGTGGAATGGGGGTGGAGGAGAGGAGGATTACTCTGGAGGGAGAGAGCTGCATGATGAAACCAGAGGTTGAGTTTGGGTTCGGCCGCTACCTGCCTCGCCTCCTAATGCTCCCTCTCTGCTTGATGACCACCGTGTGCAGAACTCAGATGGACTCTGGCGTCTCCTGATGCCTGCAGTGGTCGTCCGCTCACAGAATATGTCCATATAAAGATGCAGAACCTCTCGGAGACGTTGGCTGTTCTCTGCGTCCAGTTTTCCCGCCTGTGACTCGGTCATTCTGCGTGTTTATGCATGTGTGCATAGGCACGATGACTGATGCAGAATTGGAGGAATGAACTCGATGTACCCGGCTCTTTGTTGGGCTGAGGTGAGCCGTGCAGCCCTCGTGTGGTCAGTCGGGCCGCCGTGGTAACCGCTGCCAAAACAATCATTACATTGCATTGTTACATCGCACATCTCTGGACACTAGAGCCGAGATGACAAGAGACGAGGGCCAGACCATAATGAAGCCCAGAAACATCTGTCCACTTATTTTAGGCTTTTTGTTTAAATTCTTATCTCCAGTTACTTGCACGGACGTGTGGAGCTCTCATGCTTCTTGATCAGCAGAATGACACGTGTTGGTAAAACAGAAACTGGCTTTGCATCGAGGTCTGGACCGCTGCCTGGGGGCACGATGGTGCGGATTTCTTCACAGCCTCATGTATCAGCACCAGGGTGTAGGTGGACAGACGGGGTCAGCCTGCTGCAAAGACAGACCAATTTATTACCACAGAAGTATGAGTTATATAAAAACAGCTACTTTTGTACTGGTTGCTGCTATGCTTGGCACCCCCAGACTTTTTTTTTTTTTTTTTGCTTGGTTTGCTCCTAAAGCAGCAGAAATACATTTGCAGACTGCATTAATGTGAAAGAGCAAGTGGAGAACAGCTACACGATACCGTCACTGCATTATTAATGGATTTGTTAGATAAGGGTGGATGGATTACGGCCTGTGTTTGGGTGTTATGGTTTTGACCCACTTTTCAAATAAATGTTTGCATTCATCATACTACCGGCCATTTCTTGTGCCGTACGTTTAGCAGATTTCTCATTACAGTCTTTTATTTCCTAAATATACGTTAAATGAAGATTTGTGTGGTGTTTAAAGCTGTAAGCCAACGCTGTGGAGCACCATAACGCTCTGTTTTGTTCCCGGGTCGCAGCGAGCACAGTGAAAAAGACCTTTTGCATCAACACTGTCATCTGTCTTGTGTATACCTCCTTTGTTGGGCGGCGTGCTAACAGCCAGCGTCTTTCCTTCAGGTACCGGAGAGAGCGGCAAGAGCACTTTCATCAAGCAGATGAGAATAATCCATGGGTCAGGCTACACAGATGAGGACAAGAAGGGCTTCACCAAACTGGTCTACCAGAACATCTTCACCTCGATGCAGGCCATGATCCGGGCCACCGAGACCCTCAACATCGGCTACAAGTACGAACAGAACAAGGTGCGTACCGTCTCCTGTGATGTGTTTTTAGAACGGATCTGAGGGCTGATGCTTGGATGTTTTCACTCATGTGTTGCTTTGCTGCTGCTGAAATAATGAAATATGAAATAATGAAAAAACTAACTTATTAAACTGGTTAACCCTGTGGTTCTGGTCCTGTCACATTTCTGCTCACTGTGGGCTCATGTTTCACTGCAATACAAAGTCCTGCACCACGATGGGAACGGCACAACCTCGGCTAGAAGCAAAGAGAAATCAGGAATGTCTTTGTGCAGAATGACAAAGTTAAAAAAACTATAAATCATAAACAGGTTGAAAGTTAAATTTCTCAGATTGTTTTTCCTTGTGCCCAGAGGCGTCACCAATCCTGGACAAGAAGGCATCTAAACTCTATGGATATTTCTTATTAGTTTCCATCGTTGTCTTCTGTCTGCTCTGAGTGAACACAGCCTGCAGTTCAGCCAACAAGTCACTGAGTTTCTATCATGTGGTTGTTTGCTGCTGCTGAGTCAGTCACGGCTTCACGGCTGTGATGAGAAATTTTTTTACACAATCTGGTTTATTTTTTGATAGGACAAGTAGAATAAAGTGATTTTTATGTAATGTCCCTCTTTAAAACTTTAGAACTAAACCACATAATTAGTTTGAGGACCATTGGAAAGTTAAAAATCCAGTCATAATTCCTCTTAATGCAGTTTGTTGCTGTGATAAATGGTGTCATTTTAGCGCTTTGGGGGGAAAATAAATGAAAACATGCCTTGTGCGGCTGCATGTTTTGGGGCTTCAGAGGGTTAAAACTTATTTTCTCAGTCTTCTTTTTTTATGTGATTAATGTAATCCTTCAAGAACAGGCGCCTTTCTGCCAAAGTCAGAACAGTGTTGATGAATATTTCTGTTGTTTTTCCGTCCTCCTCTCGCTGTCTTCTCACTGTGCACCAATCAACTTTAATTTAGGGTCTAAAGTCAGCTGTTCGGTCGCTGCCGATCGACCCCGATCAAACCGGACCCACACAGTCCTGATGAAGCAGAGCAGAAACCCACTGCCCACAGAGATTTTTCCTATTTCAAATTCTTGCTTCTTTTCTCATGAATATGTAATATTACAAACAAAGTGATGTCACTCGAGTCATCAGTGGGAGAAGTTTGAAAGTTTCGGTCTCCTTTGAAATGCCAGTTATCCATGAGCTTGATTGCTCAGCGTCCAGTTAATCTAATGCAAACCACATTCAGACAGACCATAAATCTGCTGGTAAAACTAGATAGCAAGCATATTAAACTGCTCTTCTCCAGTTAGCTGTGGCTTCTTATCAAACGAATGAAGGCCACAGATGGTTTCTTAAGACAATCAGAAGTGGGTCTATATCATACGTTTAGTGTAAGCAGTTGATTTAACAGGATTACGGAGGTAGAAATGATATAAACCACAGACTGTATAACAGATGGACGTAGCTACCATGACGTCACCCGTTGGTTTCTGCTCTGAGAACATGAAGCCAGGGTTTTGCTACTTCCTGGTTGACATCTTGGATTTTTGGAGCCAGTGATGCAAAAATTGTGGGAGGGGGGCGGAGCCATAGGAGCAGCGATTGGTCAGACGGATTGAGAGGCGGGCCCTCTCTGCCCCGCCCACATTTACCGCCTTCTGCTCGCTTCGTCTGTATGGTCGCTGCCAACTGTCAATCAAGCCAGCCACGCCCCTTGCCCCGCAAAATGTTGACGATTTTATTAAAATTCAGTATTGATTTATTTTCAGATTGGCCACCTGATCTCTGGATCTGACCATGAAAACTAATAAGAAAACAATCCTGAGCTGTAGGAATGCAGCATTTGATGATCTGTGATCACTTCTTTTCCAGTTCCAGTCTATGGGAGCCAGGGCTTTGTGGAGCCAGCAGCTAGTGGACGTAGTGATGCTGCAGGTTTTTGACACTTCCTGGTTGGATTCATGTTTCAGGGCCGGTTGCTACGTCCATCTTTATACAGTCTATGATATAAATTCTTCTGGATTTTATCAGTTCCACCTGTGATGACTCACTTTAAGAACTAGGAACACTTTTATTGAACTTTCCTTTAGCATTCTGTGACATGTTTTTCTTTACAGTGTGCCTTTGTTGTCTTTCGTTCCCAGAATAACGCCCAGCTGGTGCGCGAGGTGGACGTGGAGAAGGTGTCGTCATTCGATCAGCCGTACATCGGAGCGATAAAGATGCTGTGGGCCGACCCGGGCATCCAGGAGGCGTACGATCGCAGGAGAGAGTACCAGCTCTCCGACTCAACCAAATAGTACGTCTGTGATTTATTTGTCCACTGGCATGATGAGGTGAAGCAGATTCAAACCTCTTTTTTTGATCTATTTTCTGTCTGTGCTAAAATACACCTGACTGGAGGAAGGGACGAGGCAGATGGGGAGAAGCAGGGAGAAGGAAATGTTGTCAGGTTTATAAACGACCGCTAATAATATCGGGGCTAATTCCAACCTGCATTAATCCATTTCAGACCGGTGTGAGGATTGGAAAGAAATCGAAGCTCATCCATAAATGTGTTCTCATGTGTTTTAACCCTCTGAACCCCAGAACACACCGACGGGTTGAAATCCCAGATAGCACCATTTATTAGAAGCTGTAAAAGCAGGAAGAATCAGCAGAGTTTCCTTCTATTTATCTGTAACCAGCTGTTCATTCAGAAACCTTATGATATTACATCTAAATCACTTTATTCTACATGTCTTATTTCACTATTTAACCATTTGCTGGAGCTGTGTTTTGGTAACAACTGAACTTCTGCCTCCCTTGTTGCGACCGTCAGTGACTCAGGCTGTGTCTACATGAGCAGATATGAGACGAGCATCAAAATAAATCCAATATCTAAGTAGTAATACAGCTACAGGATGTAGAGGTACTGTTGTTTTCACACCTGTGGGCAGATGTTTGTGTAGATTCCAGATTTTTGTCAATTTGGTGGGAAAAAATGTATAAATCAAACTTTAGTTGTATTTTGTCTTTATGTATTGCACATTGAAATGAGCCACAGTGACGTCATACGTTTGGGTTCAGAGGGTTAAAGTTATCCATCACCTACTGCTGTTTATTTTAATGATGTTTTTAATTGTATGTTTTTTGACAGAAAACAGTCGCGTCTGTTCTCGTTACTGACGTGTGGTCTTGTATTCCTGAGACTGTTTGTCTACCTGTGCATCTCTGTCATATGTTCCCTCCCCCTTCACAGCTACCTTAGCAGTTTAGAACGAATAGCGTCACCAGGGTACGTGCCCACCCAGCAGGATGTGCTGCGGGTCCGAGTGCCCACCACCGGCATCATTGAGTACCCATTTGACCTGGAGAATATTATCTTCAGGTACTGGTGTCACGTGCTGATGTTGAAGTCACCGGTTGGCCGGCTGCACAGCAGTCGGTCCGCCAAGCCGTCGATGCCGCTGTCTCCGCCCACCCTGTGCTGCACGGCAGGGCTCAGCACTTTAACACATCCCTGGTGGTATGCTCTCAAAGACCGGCCACGAGAACAGGCCAAGATCAGCTACAAGGGGAGGAAATGTACAAAACCATCTTTCTGCAGTCCAGTTCAAAGTTCCTGCTTTTATTCAGCTTAGAAACCTACACTGAGGATTGTTTTGTCTTTGAGAGCTGCCATCAAGGATGAAGCTGGATTTCTAAGAGAACACTTGTGGGGTAGTGGTGTGAGCTGTCACAAAACCGCCCTCATAACTCTTGGGAATGGTCCTCTTTGGTTACATCTGCTTGTGGAGGGAGTGTGCTTTACCTGCCGTTAAGCTTCACTTTCTCTTTCCTCCCTCTCTCTCTCTGTCTTTTGTTGTTCTTCCCTCTTCTCCAGCTATCTAAGTGATCTGGATCGTATTGCTGAAACGTCCTATCTACCAACCCAACAGGACGTGCTTAGGGTTCGAATCCCAACCACTGGGATCATAGAATACCCTTTCGACTTGCAAAGCATCATTTTCAGGTAGAAGAAGACCCACACTACTCTGACTAACCCCAAGTTTGTGCCCTGTTCCCTCTGAAATCTGTGTCGACGTGCTTAACAACATGTTTTATGTCCCCATTTGTGCGTTTGAACCCAGTGTCTGATTGAACCCCCATCACTCACTCAGTCTGCAACACATGGATGCAAATTTTACACAACTCTCCTCAATGACAGTGGACATTTTTCTGTAGACTGATGAAGCCTTGTTTGGCCACTGACAGGTGGTTAGAATCATTACTGGATTGTAGGAAATCTGACCAAAAACCCGACACCATTAAGCTCCACAGAAGTCTTTGCTAGCTTAACCCACACGATGCTGTCTGCTTGCTAACACGTCATTCTAGTGACTGCCTGGATGGGGCGCTGCGGTATTAAATACAAACAAATCACCGTAATCCATCTCTATAAACAGTAAGAGGCTCCGTCTTCTGCCGTATCGGTTAATTATACGATTAACGATTCATCCTTAACATCTCCAGTGCAGTGTTGATCTAAAATTTAAACTTTCATTTGTCAAGTTTTCATCCATCACCATGGTAACAGTAGGTCTGATTTATTGCAGACTCTTCCTGAGCGGCTGCTTTGGCAGAGCGATCCTGTTTCAGTTCAGCCAAACAAAGTCGCGTTATTTTGATGAAGAATTGGGGCTGAGGGTAATAACTGGTCGACGATTTGGGCTTTTTCCGTTTTCCTTTTAGCAACCAAATCTGATTTTATGGTACAGTTAGTCCTCTGTCTTCGCATGCTCTGTAGCTGCTCTGTCTTCGTTTTATTAAACTCTTGTAAAAATAGTCATCAGTTCCTGGAAAGCATCGTTTTATAGATCTGTAATTAAATTAAATTACAGTCTCGCTTGTCCAATCCCAGTGACAGATATATATTCAGTTTCCCAAGTTCAGTGCTTTAACGTCGTCGTGCTTTTCAGGCGCTTGTCTTCCTCCCTAACTTCGTTTTACCGTTTTCAAATCCCGTCACTACAAAAACAACAACAGCCTCCAAATAGCGACCTTCATGCCGACGATTCAAAATGTTGGATCAGGTAGTAATTGTGTTTTTTGGGTTTTTTGAATGTGTTTTTGTGAATTATCAGTTTTAATGAGAGCGCTCAGAAATCCCCCGTCACTGTTTTACCGAAACCCCAGCGTAGCGTCTCGTTCTTAGCTCCGCCCAACACGTTTGTGATTGGTTTAAATAAGTGTTTTGTTTTTGGTAAATGATCATGATCTCTGTGAGAGGACTTTAAATACAACAACATTTGTATGATTTCATTTAAATCGTAAAGACTACACTTGCCGATGTCCCTGTCGGGGTTTTTATAGCCCCTGATGCGATCCCAGTACTCTGATGTTTAGTCTGTACCGGTACACAGAACCGGTTTCCCAGATCAAACCCACTTTCAGGTGTTGTAGATTAGCTGTAGTTCCCGGTCAGCTCTTACTGTTCAACACTGTAGTGACCAGATTAGGTGGGCAGCTCCATGTTGGCAGACAGACGTCACTGTGGGGGTTTAGCTAGTAAAAGGACACCATGACCAAGTCTTCTGTGACGTTTAATGACCACCGGCCAGCGTGACTATGTTAAATCAGCTGTTATCAACTACGATGGCGTTCCTGTGTCCCAGTGGCTCATGTGACAGCCGTTCTTTACAGCCTGGTTGATTCCTAACATACTAATATCAGCACAGGACAAATGAGTAAAAGTAAGCTGAGGTTGTATTAGAACATAAGACATTATTGAGTGATAATGCTGCGCTTAAGAGAAAATTACTCAGTTATTTGTCACCAGTGTGACAACCGGCGTAAACAAAGAACTGGGCTCAGGTTTGTACCGCTCAGAATTACTTTGAACATCATCCTTAAATATAAACTAATTCTCCAAACAGTGACGTGTAGCGACGGTCCAGCTGGACAGAAGTCAGACTGAGGTCTTGGCAGATGAGCTGCTGCAGAATAATTGATTATATGAATGACTGATAGGTCTGTGTTATCTCCTAGCAGCAGGATAATCTGGCATTGATAAG